CAATCACAGGAAGTAGAGACAAATTAAACAATAGATGAAGAAAAAAGAAGAGGAAGCAGCTGCAAGATTGCTGCAGTCTGCGTTTGAACTAGTGTGGAGAACTGTAGTACTGTGGAGTACTGTAGTACTGTGGTGTACTGTAGTACTGTGGAGTACTGTAGTACTGTGGAGTACTGTAGTACTGTGGAGTAACTGTGGAGTACTGTAGTACTGTGGAGTACTGTAGTACTGTGGAGCAACTGTGGAGTACTGTAGTACTGTGGAGTACTGTAGTACTGTGGAGTACTGTAGTACTGTGGAGTACTGTAGTACTGTGGTGTACTGTAGTACTGTGGATTACTGCGCCTGAAGGTGCTGATGCTGGGAGTAGCACCATCACGGTGTTACCATGAGGCCTAAATGAAGCGCTACATTCATTTTCTCCTTAAAAACTGTTTTATGTGAAATGAACCTTCAAAGAATCAGAGCGACTCCACATGTTTTACATGTTTAATGCAGCTCGGCTCCTCAACATGTTTAAATAATGAGCTGAGTCTCCAAGAATTGGGTCAGAGGAGCCAGACGTCCCTGAGAGTACTACAATACCCAGGATCCTCAGCTGCTGCCGTCTGATCAAGCTGAGCAGTGTGTGTCAGTGTGTTGATGTTGTTGTGTTGTTTCAGGGGACCAAAGTCTAAACACTGCAGTGCCTGTAACAAGTGCGTCGCCAACTTCGACCATCACTGTCGGTGGCTCAACAACTGCGTTGGGAGCAGGAACTACAAGTGAGTCACATGATCTGATGACTCAGTTGTACTGTGGCTTTACACTATGTATAGTAGAACTGAGCCATACTTTACTCTTTGTACTCTGTGTGTCCGCCAGGTTGTTCCTCCACAGCGTTGTCTCGGCTCTGTTGGGCGTCTGTCTGGTTCTGGTCGTCGCCTCCTACGTCTTCATCGAATTCTTTCTGGACCCGACTAAACTCCGCACTGACAAACACTTCCTGGGTCTGAACCTGATCTGTATTTCCTTGATTTGAGTCCTCTGCTCAAAACAATCGCTGTGTCTCATATTCAGGAGTTTTGTGTGTGTGCAGTGAGGAACGATACAGGTGTGTGGTTCGTCTTCCTGCCCGTGGCACCGGTCAGATCAGCAGCAGCAGTGATTCCGTGTCTCGCCGCCGTCTCTGTGTCTCTGGGTCTGTTGTCATCAGTTCTGCTGAGTCACCTGCTCTGCTTCCACGTCTACCTGAGTACGAGCCGCCGCCCCACACACCTGACACCTGTCTGTCCGCTCACCTGTCTGTCTGCTCACCTTTATGTCCACCTGTCTGTCTCCAGTGTGGAACAGACTCAGTACCTATGAGTACATTGTGCGGCAGCGTCATCGTCATGACAACAGAGACTTGAGGAAACCAGGACCGGTGAAGGAGACAGAAGCTTCTACAGGCATCAAGGTAACTGACACACCCACACACACACACACACACTCACACACACACACACAAGTATTGAGTATTGAGTGTCTGCTCTCTGCTGCCCCCCTCAGGACGTGAACTACTCTGGGACTCTGGGTTATACCAACCCTCAGCTGGACGCGGAGGAACCTTCCACTGTGTCAGCGCGGGGAGGGCCAGAGTAAGTTCTCCAGGTTCAGCCCACGGCCCGCCGTGATTGGCCGACTGACCGGAGCCTGACAGGATTCAGTAAACAGTCGTTTCATAACATGAAGAGGCCGGACCTCGTCGCCATGGACACCGTTTTCTTTGCAGTAAACAAAGTGAAATTCTTTGGCCGTGACTTCCAGGAAGAAAACAAAGTGTGCATTGTGTGTTTGGTGTGTGTGTGTGTGTGTCCTCATAAATAACTGTACTCACCTCACTAAACTTTCTTTTTACGGGACACAGAGACGGGGGGGCATGTCCACTGTCCTCTTCATACTGCTGCAGGACAGAGGGGGGGGAATGTCCACTGTAGTTAAAGAAACACCTAGTGTCCAGAATGTGAACTGCAGGTTAATACACTCAGATTCACGAGGCCCCGTCACTCAGTCCGCTCAGTGTGGTTCTCTGAACACTCACCTGACTCAGGTGTAACTCGTGTGTGTGTTTTTGTGTGTTTTTGTGTGT